GTCCGTGTCCGTGTCTCTCTGTCTCTGTGTGTGTCCGTGTCCGTGTCTCTGTGTCCGTGTCTCTGTGTGTGTCCGTGTCCGTGTCTCTGTGTCCGTATCGGTCTGTCCGGACCCCGCCGGTTCCCGCCATTCCCCGGCCCCGCCCCCTGGGCGGAAGCGGCGCGGCGCTTCCGGCGGTTTTGGCGCGCGGCGCTGGGGCTGCAGCCCCGCCATGGCCCGGCCCGGCCCGGCCGATCCCGGGGCCGCCGTCGAGCGGCTCTGCCGGGACCTCAACCTGGACGCGGCGAGCGCGGCCGAGGCGCTGCGGGACTTCACGGCGCTGCGGGGCACCTACAGCCTGGAGGTGAGCGGGGCGGGGGCGGCGGGGCCGGGTCCCGGGCGAGCCCCGCCGAGCCCCGCCGAGCCCGTGGCCGCTGTGCCCGCAGGGAGAGCCGCTGCACTGGGTGGCCTGCGCGCTGTACGTGGCCTGCCGCCGGAGCCGGGTGCCCACGGTGGGGAGCGGCCCGATGGAGGGCAACGGCGTGTCCCTGACCCGCATCCTGCGCTCCGCGCGCCTCAGGTGAGCGCCGGGATAATTAACCACCGCCGGGATAATTAATCACCGCCGGGGCTAATTGCGCAGCGCCCGAGGCAGAGCGGGGAAAGCAACAAATCCGCGCGTTTTACGGGTGGAAATTAGATGCAAATACGTAATTTTCAACTTCAGGCCTTCGGGAGACCACCCATGTCGGCCCAGCGGTTCCACCCACGCCGCTTGTTTCTCGCTGGGGTGGATTTGGCCGCAAACTCCTCGGCGTTGCCGCAGCGGTCGCGATGGCACGCGTGCCGGACTCGGGATTCGGGGCAAATCCCAGGGCAGTGCTGGCGGCTCCCGGTTGTTCTGGGAACACAGCATTCCCCTCCTGCACGGCCCCCCTGCCCCTGTGGCTCTGGCGGGGGAAGGCAGAGCTCGGAATGTTTCTCCTTCCGTTTAAAGAGCCGCTCCCTGAGCTGCTGGAGGGGAGTTGCCAGTGAATTACACCCAGCACTAGCGGGTTTTTGTGCGGTAACTTTGACAGGCTATTGCTTGTGGTTTTGCTGCCTGTCCTGCCTCCCCCTCCACACGTGCAGAGCTGTGTGTGATTTTTCCTTTCCACCCCTCCCCTGCCCAGCACAGCCGTGCTGGCAGCCTCTGCATCAGTGTTCCTCTGTCTCAAAGAGGG